TAAATCGATTCCGCGGTAACGATCGAAAGCCAATGACACGATAAGCTATTCTAATCGGTTGTCCCAGGCCCCGCTAACTAGATGAAGAAGTCCAAGGCAAGTAGGGGAATATATATGTATTCCGTAAGCAGCCGAGTACAAGCAATCAAATAAGGGAAAAAGTCAAGCGCATTTATACAGCAACGAATTGTCCTTGAGCATCATTAGTAAATAGCACACACAAAGAAACAATGGACCAATAGCGTTTAAGGTAGTTTACAAGTGGGAAATATGACGTGAAGGTAAAAAGAGCGCGTTTGGCGCGAAAACAGTTAAATTCAAATTTCCAAAATAAAATTACAAAACTAAGCCATTTACCCAGTAAGTTCTGGGGATTTGACATCCCCAACAGTGACTGACTGACAATCGAAATTCCTACACAAAATTACAGAGCGTCTCGGTAAAATATGAAAGCCATACATTAAGTACTTTATTTACAAGTTTCCATCATTTATCTCTAACATTCTGTATGATTCTTCTGATTCACAACTTCTAATTCCGCTTCTGTATTCTTCAAGTCGAACTTCGTAGACTTCTGCTGCCAGGTTTTCCACTTCCGATTGGAGTTAAATACTACTTATGTTGACAGATATAAGTAGCATGCATCACACTACTACTATTACTGATTTTAGCTATTTCCCCGCTGATTGATTAGTCTTCTAATTTGTCTTATATTTTCTGAGGTCGTAAACATCGGTTGTATAATGTTTCCGCTTTCTTGTCTAAATGGATTATATTGTGTACTATATTCCGTTGACCGATGTAAATACAGTTCAAATATGATCATCATATAGCGTGTCTACCCACTTATTGATGGAGCACTTTGAGGTCTTTTGCACAAATTAATTAGCGTTTTTTAGAGAGTTGGTTTCCTACGGGATGGGTCGCTAACCCCATGCCCAACCCTCCTCCTTTACCCGGGCTTGGAAGTGGCAGTAGCCCCCGGATGAGCTACAGTCGGAGTTAATTAATTAGATAAACTGAAAAGTTTTGTGTAAAAATAATAGTTTTAAATGTTTTCAAGTGATTGATAGATTCGAAGAAATGATTCATAAGACTGATTATTATCTTACATAGTTGCGAAAATAAGTAAAGAGTCCAATTAAATACATCTGCTAGAGTTGTGTGGTTATAATTTACCGTATCATTTAATTCAATGGAATTAATTAAAAAGGAAGGTATGAACAGAGAGAAGAACTCGAATAGATGTGAAGTATAATTTGGTGAGTGAGATTCTATTGTAAATAAGGATCTCCAGCTAATGATGCTTATCGTTAAGAACATTGTAGGCGGAAAGATTAGATAACTTGGACCAACAGCTGGTAACTTCATAAATTGGTATAATTTCTGGATTTCATCAAGTATAATATTTGTTCGTATATTAGCTAGTAATTCAATTCACGGTAGACGGTCATATGTACCTCATGGATATATATAAACATCATTGAAAGTACCTATGCATAGAACAGAGGACAGTTCCTTGAAAACTAACGTGTAAAGGATATGAGACAATTCATTGATTATACAAATCACTGCTTACCAGTATTAACCAATCATAAGGATCTGGCATTCACTAAAAGCTATGACCTCAGAATCATAGGTACCTTTAAAGGAATATCTGCTGTACTCTCTTCAATTTTGTGGTTAATTTATTAAGTCATCTAGAGCTTTGGTGAAGTAACTATATTCAGTGAGTTCATGTCCCAAGTATGAAGTAGATACTCTAGAACTTGTTTACAGTGAATGAAATACAGTTGGAGAAAAGGTTTCTGGCATCTTTAAATTTATGGTACTTTGTAGACTCTATACGTAGTTTATTCAACCAAAAAGTAAATTGAGGGAATAAAAATGTTAATTTACAAACTCTTTTGTGTATTCATAACTCTGGTGTCTCCTCATTTGCGAATAAATCGTTCGCCTTTTACTAATGATTTCCGTGGAGAGGCACAATACAACAACAATACAATGTCGGTGTATTCATCATATCCAATTCACAATACTCATTATACGCGGTAATATATTCGTTCCATCTCCCTCAAATACAAAACATTTCTGGAAGTAATTTAGATTCAAGGTGTCCTAATTACCTTGTCATGACTCTGTGTTTTGTTAGAATTCTGTGCAGAGTTGATTTTTCCAGTCATTACGTCACTAATCAATCCTTTAGGCAATGAATTAGTGATTTAGAAACAAAAGAGAACCCATGAATACAGGAAGTTGGCAAGCATCCTCACATTCCTTTAAATATACCTACAGTATTTATAAGCTTCACTTAAACTTTCGATTCACTTACGAATTATTGTTTTCTCTTGTGCTATCTCGATAAACGGTTGTTGACGTTTCATAAACTACTTGAGACTTTATATCCATGAATAATAATTGTTTGTTTAAGATTAAACTAACTGAGAAAAATACCAATCCGAATGTTTGTGTTCTCTACGAAATATTTGAGAAAATGGATGGCAGGTAGCAGAGGAATACAGAACGCCCGTTTCGTACTGTTTAGGACTCGTCAGTCGGGTGTGCCAGCATCCCAGAGATGATGTCCACCATGGGACTCCAACCCAGCACCGCTCGCTTCAAACGCCATCATGTTATACACTTATCTACTGAGTTCTGATGGCCACCTGCTTGTGCAATAGGGTGATGTTTAATTCACTTAGTATTGTTTACTTGTATATTCCCATTGTTGTTTAGGACTGAAATTGATCAGTTTGCTATTGGCATATGTGCGTACTGTGCGGAGTGCCTCGATATTTCCGTAAATCAGGTTCATCCAGCTGACGAGTTCCAATTCGGACAAAGCATGCGTCTGGGATTCCACTGCTAGTCACCATCTATCTTTGCTTAAAAAGCTTGTGTTGTAGGCAATATCGAGGTAATATGCACATATGCATAGATATGGTATCGCGGCCTGCTTGAACAACTGGGCTATCTGTTCCTGTCATCTAAATATTCCAAGAACTTATCTAATTTCGTTTGTTTTAGTACATCATTATGGCTAATAATCGCATAACCTATTCAGGTATGTTTCTAAAAAGTGTACAACCTTCCGTTGTACGAGTTACAAAAGGCCCAATCAGATATATCATGGTTGTTGGCAATATACGGCGAAAAGAATGTACATTATTTAGATGTCGATTTATTGTACCTCGAAGTTCTAACTAGTGATCACTCAATTTATACAAGCTATCAATACCAAGTGAATTATTTGAGAAAATGTTTTATTATTTATAATTTCACAGTGCAGTTAACCATAATGTTTTCAATGTTCAATAAAAGTGGAAATATCTAGGAGTTTCGTGAATATTCCCTTTCATTTATTGAATGAGTATTCCATAATAAAGCATAATTTCCACCAAGGATTTGATTTCAATCATCAAAAGCTATCTTCTTTGAACAATCCACTGTAACCCAACTGAACTTACCGGGTAGAAGAAACAGATAAGGTAAAAGTAAGAACTTGAAACAAAATATTCAATGAAAATTATAATCCTAAAAAAACATGTTTGATACATACATACATACATATCAGACATTGAAAAACAAATACTCTACAAATTCATGGACACATCATTCTGTCTTTTGATTTTATCCTATAAGGACTCAGTGGCCGAGTGGAGTGAAGCGAAAGGTACTGGGTTCGAGTCCCAGAGTGAACATCAACTCTCAGATGCAGGTACATCCAGCTGATGAGTCCCAAATAGGACGAAACGCGCGTCAAACTGGATTCCACTGCTAGCCACCATCCATTTTTGCTATTAAAAACTGTTGCATCCTAGTAAAGATCAAATTATAGGTAACTTCTGAGAACTATTAATGAACTAATATTACAGATATATATATTCTTATTGTATAACGATCCAGTAACTAGATTATGTATATCTATATTCTTCTTATGATAAGCTTTATTTTGACCTATTGACTATTATGATACGATTTACCGTTCTTAGATTATACTTAGTTTATTGATTACATTGTTTGGCTGATATATAAACCATGTGTGTTTGAAATTAATGATTCGTATCGTGGAAGCTTGTTTTGGTGTTCTAGACTCAACTTGAAGGTCTAAGAGGACAAAGGACCAATAAGGATGCTCATACCGGTTGATACTTCATTGGGTTGGAACAGTACTAAGATGTATAAGTCATGTTCCGATTAGTGAGTAAGTCACACGATAACCAGCCTGGATTAAAGTCACAACCGAAATATTTGATATTAATCTTGATTAAAAGTGTTCAAAAATCTTTGGTAAAAAGAAAACTCTCATATATACTACTACTATTACCACTACTATTACTACTACTGTGGTGTTGTCTTCTTATATCTATATAAGTAGTATATGGTGTGGGTCAGACATAGAATGTATTTTGGCAAAAGACCGATGAGGAAAGAACTGAAATGAAGCGCAATCGGAAGGAAAATGCATGAGCAATGGAATAAGAGAAGAAACAGTGAAGATTGAAACAATTGGTTATTAATTTACAAATTGACTGTTCATTGTTTGGTTATCAGAATTTACCGAGATAGTCTGTAATGTTTGCTTAAATACATTCGATTGTCCCCAACTAGCGTTCTGTTCACTACACTACTACTACTACTACTACTGTAGTGAACAAGAACACGGGTGTATTATAGCACAAATTACAGACTATCTCACTAAATTCTGATAACCATACAATGAACAGTTAATTTGCAAAATAACAATTAATTGTCTCCATCTTAACTGTTCCTTCTGTAAATATAAGTCCATCGTCTATGATTTCATTGTTCATGCATTTTCGTACCGATTGCGCTTCATTCTTATTCTTTCGTTATCGATCTTCTGCCAAAATATATTCTATATCTGACCATCACCATATACTACTTATATATGGATATAAGTAGACCACACTACACTATTACCACTGCTACTACCACCACCACTACTACTACTACTACCACTACAAAAAAGGGTATATTTTAACTACTACGATACATTAATCTGATATATTTTTTAAAATTTAAATTTACACAAATAAAATCAATGATGAAAAAAAGAAAAAGAAAAAATCAATCCATATCGATTTTTTTTTCAAATAAATTTTAGCATAGTAACTGATCAAGATTAATGGGATCATATCTCTTTTTTTTTGTTTTTTCTCCTTTTTTTATTTTCTTCTCAATATTGTTTATCATTTTATTAAATTTAAAATATTTTTGTTGCTAATTGTTTTGATATCCAATCCATATGTGATGATGTTGATGTATAAACACCAGGATTTAAACCACAACCTCTAGCTAAACCAAAACTTGTTACACCAACAATATGCCAACGATTAGTATCATCGAAATAACAATAAAGACCACCACCACTATCACCAGCACATGTATCCTAATGATTAAAATTTGGGGGGGGGAAAGAAAGAAACAAACAAATAAACAAAATTTGATTGATAATTGAATATAAAATCAATATCACCATGGAAAACATGACTGACTGACTTCAAGATATATGTTCTAGAATTCTAGTGAGAGGTAGTGACCGTTGGAGTTCAACTAGGTTTGTTGTGAGATAATAACTCACTGAAGACAATTGATGAACAGTTGCTCAAACTTCGTGTATTGGTTGAAGCTAGACATTAACACCGTTGGATGACGTCCAGCTAAGTGGTTTATCAGTTAAGTGCACTAAAGCGAGACTGATAGGTCTTGGGTTCGAATCTCGAGATACGGGATCGTGGATGCGCACTGCTGAAGAGTTTCACAATAGGGCGAAACGGTTGTGCAGTACTTACAGGTTTTCGATGTTGGTCTATCTTCAATTGACTCATGATCTCAACTATGAAAATACTGAAATCTTCACAAAACCGCTTCTGATAAAATCAGTAAATATTCAAAAAGGAATGTGTATGAGAAAAGTATGAAAAACTGTCATTAAATTAATCATACAGCTCAGTGATCTAAAAGTTGATCATTTTCGCACAAGATCAAAGGTCTCGGGTTCGATTACAGCATACAGCATCATGGAAACACATTTCTGAGGACTCCAATGCTAAGACGAAACAGTTATCCTTGGCTTCCAGATTTCCAATGCTGGTCTAGTTTAGATTTACTCTTGAATTCAAATTTGAAAATACTACAATCTCCACAAATTCCCATACTGATAATTATACATATTTTGTTCAATAATTATTCAAACTAAGTTCATACAAACGTATTATATTTGAAATACTCACTCTTTTTGATAAACGTTTTGCTCGAAATCTGTTTCCATTGTTGAAAATTCCTCATCATAAATCAGGCTCTTTAACTGACTTGACGTTTTTCCTCTTTTTTACTGGAACCATATCCAGTGATGATCATCATAAATTTAGTTCATTATCGATCTACCCTATGGAGGATCGAAAATCACAACTGCGAACTTTTGGTGTTTCCATTCATTCAGGATGTCATTGGACGTTGTGATCTTGAATGTTAGTTACAGTGTTCACTGCTTATACTAAATAGTTCGGTCTATCTAAATGATTTGTTTTGTTTAATATACTATTTCAATAACTAATCGTCAACATCTCTTCTGGTTTTAGAGAGTTCTTACCTAGTTTCAACAAAGCCTTGGAATGTCTTATTTTCTCCATGTGTTTGACAGTATTGTTGGTATAAAACTGATTTATGCAGAGGGTATGAATGCTTCTTTCATTAGAAATCTTATGAACACTTGGTGATGGACTGATGATTAAATAATAATGATGAGTTAATCCATACAATTCTCCTTACTGATGAGTACAAACATTGGAAAAATTGTTATCTGAAGACTGATTAATCAAAGTATGTTAACTAATTTGATAGAGTTAATCAAGTTCTATCAAACGATAAACAATGTTACTAAAGATGTAAATGACTTGGATAATTGTCGCACTGTGTTTGGATGTTACATCAGTATTAAGAACAAAAAAAACTATATATATATATATATATATATATATACCGGTTACTATACAGTGACTACTTATTTGAAATATCCAACCCCTACATTAAGTCAGTCACAGCTCGAATAGTTTAGTGATACCGTTTTTAATGTTGAAATTAAATGAAGTGGGTTAGCATCTCATTCAAAATGTCAGTTGAACGACATCATCAGCATAAACTACCCGAAGTCTGTGCTGATTATGTCGTTCAGAAGAACTATGCAAACTCCACGACCGAACCATCCAGCTCAGAGAACAAAACTCCATCAAAATCATCCACTTGAGCTACAAATCTTATCGACCGCCGACAGATTAAAAATAGCAAGAGAATGGAAGTGGATAAGACATACATTGTTGGAATCACCAAACAGCATCACGAAGCAAGCCCTAATTTGAAATCTTGGAAGGGAACGGTAAAGAGAAAGATCAAAGAACACACTAGGTTGAGAATTGGATAGAGAATGCTTGTGATCGGACTATGCTTCTTCATGAGAGGTAACAGTTGTAATTAAGTACTTTCAGTTATTCATATCAACGAAAGTGTATTTTACTCATACGTTCCTAATGTGTACACTAAAATTGAAATATAAGTCAATCTAACTGTCAAGTTTCAGATAGAATGAAATAGTACATGAATTTCACAATTAATCATCTTCATAAATCTCTTCATTCTTAAGAATTAAAGAAAAAACAATATAATCAGAAGTGGTTTTGTGGAGATTTCAGTATTTTTAACAGTTGAAATCATGAGTCAATTAAAGCTAGACCAACATCGTAAACCTGGAAACACTGGACGGCCGTTTCGTCCTATTATTGGACTTCTCAGCAGTGGGCATCCACGATCCCAAACTCGCGAGATACGAACCCAGGACCAATCAGTCTCGCTTTAGAGCACTTAACCGATAGACCACTTAGCCGGCCGGCATCCAACGGAGTTCTAATGGGAAGCAGTGTCCAGTGGAGTTCAGCCAGGTCTGTTGTGAGATAAAAACTCACTGAAGACAATTGGTGAATGGTTGCTCAAACTTCGTGAATTCGTTGAAGTTAGACATAAACACCGTTGAATGCCGGTCAGCTATGTGGTGTAGTGGTAAAGCGCACACGTGCAAGACTGCTAGTTCCTGGGTTGTAATCTCGTTAGGCGAGCTCATGGATGCGCACTACTAAGGAGTCCCACAATAAGACGAAACGACCGTTCAATGCTTCCATGTTTTCCATGTTAATCTATCTTCAATTGATTCATGATTTCAACTATGAAAAAGCAATATACTCTAAAAAAAGAAAGACGTAATCATTTCTTACTTTATTTTTAGCACCAGCACATACATGTACTTTTGAACTAATATCAGCATAATATTTACGACAATCATCTATAGATACTATAGGTAATTCAACTTCATGTAATTCTTTAGATGATTCTTCTTCTTCTAATTTTTTTATATTCCATATAGATGATTCTCTTCTACCAAATGTAAATGGTGTATTAAATAATGATGATGGAAATGGTAAAAATAATGATTCTAATATACTATGTATATTATCAAATGTTGGTATTTTACCACCTTTATTACTACCCCAACCAACAGCATAACATTTAGAATTTGATGTTAATTTTAAATTTTTTGATGGTAAACATGCAAAATCAATTTCTGGTGCTAAAAAAAAATTAAAAAAAGAGATTGAGTTAAAGTATACAATGTAGTTGTAATATATATCTATCCAATAACCCCCTCCCCCCCCCCTCATGAAAATAACCTCTAATACTCTGAGTTATGGTTATTGAATAATTGAAATGACCAGTTGCAGTCAGGACTCAATGGCCGAGTGGATAACATCGATGGCGTTTGAAGCGAAAGAGACTGGATTCGAGTTCTAGAGTGAACATCAACAAATCTGAGATGCAGGTACATTCAGCTGACGAGTCCCAAATAGAACGAAACGAGCGTTAAACTGGATTCCACTGCTAGCCACTATCTATCTTTGCTTATCATGCTTGTGAATTTAGTTTATATCGAGGCTATATGCACAGTATGCACATATATCAATTAGAAACTGACCAGTTGCAGTCCAAAAACATCGATGGGAAGATTCAAACAAACAATACTAAGTGAATATCAATATCATTGTTCTACAAATCTCCAAATAATCTCTGTCATTTCGACTTTGATGGTATATACTTACCTAAATATCGATGAATAAAAGTTGTGAGTTTCGTGTTCGTATGATTATAAGTATAGAAGAGATAAACGACGCGGGTAAAGCGGTACAACCTTCGAATGTGGCAACCAGGTTTCAGGTGGAGCCGAGAAAATAGTCTTAAACAAAAGACTTTAAATGGAGAGGTATGAGGACGGTCTACAGGTGAAGTTAAGAAAGCTCTAAGAAGCTCAGAAGGAACCTAACATATTTCATCTAATCAGCTTTTGGAAGAATATTCTAGAATCACTACGTGTAGCCCCCCTATTGGACAATGCTAATAACCCCCTGTGCGTGGATGGGGTAACTATAATGATGATTTCGTTTCTACTAAAAACTATAAATACATGACAGTTTTGTACCATAATTGACACTGTTTGAAATAACATTCCTTTTACTTATCTTCTGTCTTCTGATTTTGCGACTTGGGGGGGGGGTTCTAGCTTTCGAGTGCTCAAGTTTTACGCAACATACTAAGAATCTAAGTTCGAGATACAACGACAAGTTACTCGTTGTTTCTTTTCAGTGTGTAGATCCTTCCCTAAATGATTATTATAACTTTCTGTTCTTGTACTGGTTATCATCATTATATGTTGTTGAAACAGAGAAAACACTAAAGAAGCTCAATAATCTTGGGACAATGTGTAAACTGTATAATGTCAGAAGACAAGGTAATTGGAAATTCCGATTTTCTGTTGAGATTTGTTGAGATTTGGCTAAATAATGGAAGTAGAGATTTGAAAAGGGAATCATCACAAGGACTAAGTATTTTGGCGACATCAATACTAATGTACCCTGAAATTTTGTAAAATACAACTTTTATAACCTCCCTTCGAGTATTTATTGGATAGACTAGATAAACTATACTATTTTTATCAGAAGGGGGTTTCTTCGAGATTGTAGTAATTTAATAGCTGAATTCACGAGTCGATTGATAACAAACCACAATGAAAAACCTGGAAGCACTGGACACCATTGTATGTCAACTCAATGGTCAACGGGTTATGGATTGCACGTGATAGGTCCTGAGTTCCGATCCTGTGAATGGGATCGTAGGTGAGCACTGCCAAAGAGTTGCATACTAAGACGAAACGGCCATCGAGTGCTTCTAGGTTTTCCATTGTCGTTCAGCTTTAATCGACTCATGAATTCAACTGTACTTTTTTATTCATAAGTCATTCGAAAGCCTTTTGTATGAAAGTTTTTAATTTTTCAACAATTTCATCAATTACCTTAACAAATAAAACATATTCCTGGCTTTTAATGGTTTCCTAGAAGCAGTGCGTAACGTATAAAATGGGAATTTAATAACCTTCACAAGCCATCCCATTACTAATAATAACCGCATTCTCCCTAGTGATTAGTTTCGAGATGGAATTCTTGGAGTTGTAGTAAAAAGTCGTTATCAATGGAGTTCAACTTTTTCGAGTTTGAGACTGTTATCCATAGCAGCTAATGGGAGTCAATCACCAAGTGTCATGATTTGATTGAAGTTAAACATATGCACAACTTGATCCCAGTAGCATAGCTTAGATTTTCAAGCACGAGACTGAAAGCCATGAGTTCAGTTCCCAGTGATGGATTTGTGGACACGTACCCCTGAGGATTTATTTACTGGGACGAAACGACTGTTCATGGGTTCCAGGTTTTTAAAAGCTATCTAAGATTAATCCATAGTGTAAACTACAAGGTATATATGCCAGATAACGGAAGGAATAGATATTAAGATTAGACATACTTGTTTTAACTGGTTCTGAGAGACGTAACAATGCAATATCATATCCATCAGTTTGTAATTTTCTATGATAATTTGGATGAAGTATAGCAACAGTAACACGATGATCAATTTGTGCAGCTTCTTGTTTATATCGATCATGATCACCTAAATGTGCATAGATTGTACTTTTCATATGATCAGCTAACATAACTGGTTTTCCAACTGGAATATGTTTATTTTCTACTAGAACACAATGAGCTGCAGTTAATATCCATTGTGGTGCAATCAATGTTCCACCACAGAATGTAACTGATCTTCGACGAGGTAACTTCACAGACAAACGAACCTATAGTATAAAAGTAAACATGAATTAAATTTGTTAATAGTTGCTTAATTGAAGGTTGAATATGCATTGGCAATATGTACTTTGGTGTCATAGAAATCTCACTTAAACACCTTTTAGAATAGATCATCTAACTAAAGGTTCCTCGTACTGTTATGAGACTGGTGCATAAAAAGGGTTGGTTTTGTTAGTATTATATTCTTTGAACTAGATGAGTTAATTACTGCATTTCTTATCGCCGTTTTGGACAATGTCATCATAGTGTAAGGGTGTAAGAAATCCAACAACTGTAGAGTTACCGTTGAAGTTTTCCAATATTTGACATTATAGTAACTTGTCAATCAATTGCAACATAAGTCAAGTATATACAACAAGCATAGTTCGAATCCCTGAATCACACATCAACTCTAGGATGTAGGTACATTCAACGGATGAGTCCCGAATGGGACGAAACGCTTTTTCTGGTTTCTATTACTAACCACCACACATCTTTGTTAATGATTCTTGTGACCTAAGGCAGTATCAAGGGCGATCTGCATAGTATGTACGTATATCAATAAGAAACCAATCAATTTGAGTCGTAGATATCAATGGGAAGATTCAAACAATCAATACAAAAATGGATTAGTTTAGTATAGTTGTTTAATTCCGACAAATCTAATATCAGAAGGAGTTTTTTGTGAAGATTTTAGTGATTTTATAGTTGAAATCATGAGTCAGTTGAAGCTAGACCACCAGTGATTTAGAGGTTAAGCGCTCATGCGAGCGAGACTGATCGGTCCTGGGCTCTAATCTCGTGAGGTAGGATTGTGGATGCTCACTGCTGAATTGTCCCACAATAGGACGAAATGGTCGTCCAGTACTTCTAGGTTTTCCATGATGATCAATTGACTCATGATTTCAACTATAAACTATAGTTGGATATATAAACGCTCCAAAGATTTGAACTAAGAAATTTAAAGCTTTGTAAATGAAATATTCAACTGAACGTAGAAACATATCAACGGTAAAACCTAGATAACTTACAGCCCATGGCCATGAATGTGGTTCAACTGCTTTACCACCAAGAATTTTTTCCATTATTTGATTGTCTGATTTACGTATTCCACATGTATTAGTTAGATTTTTTATAATTTGATCACCAGCTATGAATAAGAATGACCATACACATAGAAAGAATCAATGTAAAATGGTCTTGGTAACAAATAGTAAGTGTATAAAAAAAAGAAAAGAAACTTCTACCCGAAGTTTGTGCTGATGATGTCGTTCAGAAGGACGATGAAAGCTTCACGACCAAACCATCCAGCTCAGAGAAATCATCAGCCTCTAGTTAGCAAATAAGGTCATACACACACACATACACAATCATTTCGCTGTTAAGAGGATATAGAACAACTCTGGTGAATATACAGGTTGACTCAGTGTGGTGATCAGGTTAGAACCAAAAGCTGATAGAAAATTAAATTCACTTTAGTATTGTTTGTTTGAATCTTCCCATTAATGATGTTTAAGACTGTAACTGCATATGTAGTCCCAGAGTGAACATCAACAAGTCTGAGATGCAGGTACATCCAGCTGACGAGTCCCAAATAGGACGAAGTGGCGCGCGTTAAACTGGATTCCACTGCTAGCCACAATCTATCTTTGCTGATAGAAAATTACTGTAGATTACGATCAATAGAAGAATGAAAGACTAATACATGATGATAGATATCAGATTCCAGTACAATTGGTCATTTATTTAGCTCTGCTTATGGAACTAAGATGACTAATAACACAATGTGCGTATTGTTGGTTTAGTCCGTATAACTAATTGTCTGATATTTTTAAGACTTGACAACTATAAGAACTATTAATTTCACCATTATAAAGATTCATTGTATCAGTTGATCTTCTCATAAATTCTTCATTCAAATGTATCTGAGCCAAAATAGTTCTTCGTTTGGTTACAGTGACTCGAACTTGTCAGTTAGTAACCATAGGGAAGTTTCTGCTTTTATTGGTTACCTAGTAGTAACCATTGTCAGGAATGTAGTTAATATCTGAATAACTCAGCGTAAATGTTTGGAATTGCAAAACTGGGTGACAGAAGTTACAGTCAAACAAGGAGAATCGACTTCCTCAAGATTATAGGTATACCTTGAAGAATATTGACTAGTGCTTTCGATAATGTAACTGGCTGCATCCAGTTCAAAAAACTGTTTACTACTCATTTATCTTTTGTATTCTCAACGGATAGAAGCATTCAGTGTTCAAATAACTATTATTCAGAAAGAGGATTTTGGGGAGATTGTGGTAATTTAATAGTTGAATACATGAGTCGATTAAAGCTAGACCACAATGGAAAACCTAGAACCACTGGATGGCAAGTTCATCCTAGCATAAATCTCCTCAGCGATGTACATCCACGATCCGAACGCAGGGTCTTCTGTCTCATGCGCGAACACCAGTGTTAATGTCTAACTTCAACTTATTGACAAAATTGCAACACCTTCCACCACTGTCTTCAGTCAATAACTGCCGCACAACAGGCACGGTTGAACTCCACAGGTCACGGCTTCTCGCTAGAATTCCAGTAAATACCTCTTGAATCTACTCAATAGTGAGCACATGATGATTATTATCAGAATGAAGGGTTTCTTGAAATGTAGTAATTTAATAGTTGAATTCATGAGTCGATTAAATTTTGATCACAATGGTGGACAGTGGCACATTTTCGTGAATTAATTTGAAGTTCGACATTAACATCATTGCATACCAGTTCAATAGTTTAGAGATTATAAGTTCTCTCACGAAAGTAGAAGCCCTAGATTCAAGTCCTTTTGATGTAGAATCATGGATCCATATTGCTGAGAAGTTTCAAACAAGGATGAAATATTTATTCAATATTTTCATGGTTTTCCATTACGGTTTAACTTGAATCAATTCATCAATTTATATCAGAAGGTGTTTTTTGAACATTATAGTAATTTCAAGAGTTGAGATCATGAATCAGTTAAAGCTAGACAACTATTGAAAACCTGAAAGCATTGGACGACCTATTGTGGGACTTCTCAGCAGTGCGCATCCACGATCCCGCCTCGCCAGATTCGAACCAAGGACCTTTGGTCTCGCCTGCGAACGCTTAACCTCTAGGACCACTGAGCCGGCCGGAAGCCAACGGTGTTAATGTCTAAATTCAACCAATCCATGAAATTGAGCAACCTTCCATCACTTGTCTTCAGTAATCTACTGTCTCACAACAGACCTGGTTGAACTTCACTTGTCACGGTTTCTCACTAGAACTCCAAGAAATATCTCTTGAAGCCAGTCACTATTGATCATATGATTATTATCAGATGGGGTTTTGTGGATATTATAGTAATTTCAATAGTTGAAATCATGTATCAATTGAAACTAGACCACTATTGAAAACTTGGAAACATTGGACGACCATTTCATTCTATTGTGGAACTCTTCAGCAGTGTGCATCCATGATCCACGATCAATTCAATTATTCATCAGTAGTACCATTTCAGATCAGTTATGAAATATACTCATGATTTTAACTTTGAAAAATACTGAAATCTCCGCAAAACCCCTTCTGATTATAATCATATGCTCATTAGTGTCTGACTTCAAGATACATGTTCTGGAGTTCTAGTGGGAAGCAGTGACCAGTGTAGTTCAACCACGTCTGTTGTGAGACAGTAGATTACTGAAGATAAGTGATGGAAGGTTGCTCACTTTCGTGGATTGATTGAATTTAGACATTACACCGTTGGATTCCGGCCGGCTCAGTGGTCTATCGGTTAAGGGCTATGATGTGAGACTGGTAGGTCCTGAGTTCGAATCTTGCGAGTGAGGGATCGTGGATGTGCACTGCTGAAGAGCCCCATAATAGGACGAAATGGTCGTTCAGTGCTCCCAAGTTTTCCATGGTGGTCTATCTTCAATTGACTCATGATTTCAACTTTGAAAAATACTGAAATCTTCACAAAGCCCCTTTTGATTATGAAATATACCTTACAATTATTATCTAACTAATCTTTCTCTCTATTCAATTCATATATATATCATATATCTCTCTTTGTTTAAATTATATAATCATCTTACATGTGATTCAATGTTAAGATCACTGTTATGTAATATAAATGATTAATGGATATATATATATTGTATATTAAATTAAAACAAATAACCTATATTACTTAAATTGTATATATTATCAGTAATATGATAAATTCGATACAAACTTAGATACTAAACATAGATATGATACATTTTCTTATAAAAAAAAAGAAAAGAAAAGAAAAGAAAAAAATCACAAAAAAATTTAGAATTACGATCAATATTTTTTGAAACAATAAATCAATCAATAAACTAGATCACTATGGAAAATCTGAAAGCATTGGACGGCTGTTTCGTTCTCGGCTCGAATCTCACGAAGCGGCATCGTGAATGTATTTAAATTGTATATAATCATGATAGAAATCTAAGAAAGATTCAATGTCTTATGGTAATACTACTACTACTTCTACTACCATTACTACTAATACTACTCCCACTACTACCATTACTATTACTACTACTACTACTGCTACCACTACCATTACTACTACTACTACTACTACTACTACCACTTCTACCACTAATACTGTAATGAACAAAACACGGGTGGGGACAATCTGATGTATTTAAGCACGAATTACAGACTATCTCACTAAATTCTGATAACCATACAGTAAACAGTTAATTTGCAAAATAACAACCAATTGTCTCAATCCTAACTGTTCGTTCTGCAAATATCAGTCGGTTTTCTCTAATTCCACTGTTCATGCATTTTCCTACCAATTGCGCTTCATTTCATTTCTTTCCTTATCGGTCTTGTGCCAAAATACATTCAATGTTTGACCATCGCCATATACTACTTATATGGATATAAGGAGACCATACTAAACTACTACTACTACCATTACCATTACTACTACTACTATTACTACTACTACTACTACTACGACTACGACTACTACTACTACCACTACTATTATACTCCTTCAATAACATCTTCAAACACTAATCTTTCACACAACGCTTATACTCTTACTACTTCTACCACTATGGGATTTGAAACGACAACTGTATCTCTGTGCTAATGTGGTATGACAACTCGAACTGATGTGCGTACGTACGAAGTTCTACGTTGTGACTGACTGACTGACCACTACTATTACTACTACTACTGCTACCACTACTACTACTACTACCACTACTACTACCACTACTACTACTACCACTACCATTACTACTACCACCATTACTACTACTACTACCACTACTACTACTACTACTACTACTACTACTAGTAATAATAATAATAATAGTAATAATAACACTTACTATATTCATTGCATTGTGTTTTATTTAAACATGTACGTTTCTCTGCATAATATTTTGATATACATCGAGTTGTATGTATAAGATTTGGTGATATAGTTTTCCATGAATCATCTAAACATTTACGATAACGTATTTCAATACATTCCATTGGTAAACATTCTTTCCAATCAGACCAATTACTATAACGTTCTATATTGAATACATAAATTTCTTGTGATTTTGGTCGATTAAAATGAAAACTTAATGGAAAGAATTTTTGTTGAATTTTCCGTCCTACATTCTAAGATAATCAAAGAAATGAGTACAAGTTAATAAGTTAATAAAGTAAGCATTATAATGATTCATTATAAGCTAAAATGGATGATAGCTAGTAGTGGAATCCAGGATGTGCGTTTCGTCCTATTTGGGACTCATCAGCTGGATGTACCTGCATTTCTGATTTGTAGGTGTTCACTCTGGGACTCGAACTCAATACCTTTCGCTTCAAACGCCATCACGTTATCCACTCAGCTACTGAGTCCTGATGGTCACCTGCTTGTGTAATATGGTGAAGTTGAAATGCACTTAGTATTGTTTGTTTGAATCTTCCCATTGATGTTTAAGACTTCAATTGATCAGTCTCTTGTTGGCATATATGCATCCTATGCGGACTGCCTCGAAATTGCCTGGAGTCACAAGCTTTATATGGCAACAAGAGACTGATCAATTGAATTCCAAAATAACAATGAGAAGATACAAGTCCTATACTAGGACAAAACAACCTTCTAGTGTTTCGAGGTTTTCAATGAAGGTCTAGCTTAGAATGATTCGTGAATTCAACTTTGAAGTTACTTAATTTTTAAATCACTCGATTTCCAGTGAGTGTGTCTCATACTGAAACACTTTTCCATCTACTTTTGTTTGAATAGTCAGGCGATAGTCTTATTGCTTGTCACACAAATAATTTCGACAGAAAGTGAACACATAAACATCGGTATTCGATAGAATAAATTGCATTAAATCGAATAATTATAAGCAGACAACATAACATTTTAGTCTTTGAACAACCAATATACAGTATTATTTATTTGAACACATAAATATTGGTACAAGAAGGAACTAAATACATATGCGTCACACAAGCCACTTGATTTTTATGTAGGCTAGAACACTGTGCGGGTGCCCAGACTGAAGCAGGTGATTTTCTTAGGGGGCCACACACAGAGCCTTCGACCTACAGTTCCGGCCCACAGGGCAGTAGAGAAACATTACGGGGTGCAGTCCCACAGTAGCCGGTGACCAACGATTGTTTCATACACCATTTGTTCCTTCAGCATCCTAGAGCCCATGTGCACCACTGGTTTGAAGTCAAGGTTTTCAAACTCCTCTAGGTGGACACAAAGAGTGCCTAACGACCCGGATAAATCGCCGGATATTCGCTTTTTATCCTCTCAATTTCATAAAGGACACCCCGCCACCAGAAGGTAGTGAGTAAGACTTCCCTGACAGAGACTGCATACGCGTGGCCGTGTGAGAGCATTTCAAGAAAGAGAGCTGACTCTCCCCACTCTCGGCTGTACCAGGGCATTCGGGGGCTACGGTAACAGTATACAATAGAAACAAATCAATCAGAATCAAGAATGTGACTATTAGATTTTGCTTGAAATTCAAATGTTTGCAATGATTAAGTAAAAAACAATGATGTTGAATTCATCAAACACAATTCTCTGTTCAGATTATACATAACAGACGAATCAACGATATCTTTATATCCTGACCCTAAACTCTAAATTCTGAAACAAACCCTAACTTGGTGACGTTATATTCTATGGACAAACTAAGCAGGTGAGAGTTCTTGGGTTTTTGTTAGAAATTCATTCATCCAAATAGCTATTGAACAGTTTTGATCTATCGTAATTTGTAATTAGAATCTCAACTCTGAACTCTTAACTTTAATCTTAAAAATCTAAATCCAAGTATAAACTCTCAAAGATCTGTCTGTATCCTTTCAAGTGTTTGAAAACGTGGACAACCTATGCTCATCAGAAAGAGTTTATGTCGTTGTCTTTTTCTTATTTTTTTGGTATGCAAGTAGAAAACATTAATAGAATCGTTAATTGTGTAAAGACCGTTTACCCATTTTAACCCCCCAAATGCTCTGGTACAGCCGAGAGTGGGGAGAGTCAGCTCTAATTCTTGAAATGCTCTCATATAGCCACACGTATACAGCATCTGCCAGGAAAGTCTTACTCACTGCCTTCTCGTGGCGGGGACGTTGCTTACGAAATTGAGAGGACGAAAATTGAATGTCCGTCGCTTTAACCGAGTTGGTGGACACGGAAAGTTCACCTAGGGGAGTTTGAAAACATTGATTCCAAACCAATGGTGTACATGGGCTCCAGTATCCTGAGGGAACAAATGACGTATGAATCAATCGTTGGTCACCGGTTACCATGGTACTGCTTTTCCTTACGATGCCTTGTGGGTCAGATCTTTAGGTCAACGGCTCCGTGTGTGACTCCCTAAGAAAACCACTGCTTCAGTATGGGCACCTGGGCAGTATCACAGCCCTCACACGAATCGAATGAGATTTGTGTGGCGCATATGTATCTGGTGCTTCCTTGTATCAATATTTCGGTGTTTAAATAAATAAGTTTACACCTTGGAATAGTATTGTTTTCTTTTTTATAGACCATCTTTTCAGAAAGTGTTTTTCAAGGTGGCTAGTAACTAGGTGGAAATTTGTTATAGTTATTTTGAGCTGGTCTCTATACTATACTTTTACCTAAGCTATTTGTTATAAATTTCCTAGTTTATTAACTAACAACTTTCTCACTAGTGACTGACTCCATGAGGTATTTCTTGTTGAAATTAGACATTAACACCGTTGGGTGCCGGCCGGCTCAGTGGTCCTAGAGATTAAGCGTTAGCAGGCTAGACCGAAGGTCCTTGGTTCGAATCTCGTGAGGCGGCATTGTGGATGAGCACTGCTGAGGAGTCCCATAATAGGACGAAACGGCCGTCCAGTGTTTCCAGGTTTTCCATGATAGTCTAACTTCAATTGACCCATGATTTCAACCATATAACAACTTGCTAGTTAATTAGACGCTTCTAAACTGTATCAGATTCAAAATATCAATCGAAATATAGCTAATATTGGTATTTACATAATTTCTTGAGACTAATAATGACAAAATATTAAGAAACTCTTGATTCACCTAAGTTTTATGTTAAATGGAATTTGTCTACAAAGCATATCTATCAAGTGATTCCATTCAACTATGATTGGATCGTATATACACAAATCAATATAATAAAATAGGAATTTTATCAACATCATGAAAACCCTGAAAACATTGAACTCCTCAACTCTAAGTATCTATGACTCCAACTCAAGGAATCGAACCTAAAAGTGTCAATCTTACTCGTGTCAATGTTTAATTTCAATCAATTCACAATCTTGAACAATTAACTACTATTGTCTATTATGAATAACTGTTTCATATCTAACATGGTTAGACTCCTTTTGATCATAACTTGTAATTTAAAACATAATAACTAACTCACTTACTTTATGAATGTGTCGTGGATGGTGATGATGATCATGATCATGATGACGATAATGATGATCATGATTATAATCATCATCACCATCATTGCTGTTGTTTATGAATTGATTCAATGATTCTTCATCAATATACTCTTTATTATAATCATATTCAGATGTATTACTGTTTGGAATGAATAATAAAATGAAACATATAAAGTAGATTAAGTATGTATTGATTAAGATCATATTACTACTATGAATACTACTATTAATGACGATAATGATAATATGTAATCTAATTGTATGCCATGATCTACTTATATATACATATCAGCGACCTGAAATTTTACAAAAAAAAATTCTAACCAATCAATTGAATTAGTTTATGAACTAATAATATGATGATAAGAATAAGTCACCTTAGTGATAATAATGATAATGGTGATGGTGATGACAGAATTGGACTGCCATTTACATTTATGTTTATATATTTGTATATATTCATTCATCTATTATGTTTATAAATGTAATAATAATAATAATAATAACCTTGAACGGATTTATAAAGTGAACATGAAGGTGACGGTAGTGGTGGTGGTGATGGGGGGTGGGAGTGAAGGGTACGACTGATGAGAAATGAAACATTCAACAAAATTTTAATTAAACTATAAGTATTCACATTGGATTGATTGATAATTTAAGTGAATTTGGAATATTCCAGAATGTGGTTGTTGTTTTTTTCGAATTCCTCGTTAATAGATAGTTACAATTGAACTAGATTAGTTACGTCAGTTTATCGGTAATCGTTAATTGGTTCTAGTGAATCAGAGAAACTATAAGTGAATGAGATATTCTGTTTTGAAGCTATGTAGGTGGAGATAGTCATCAGAAAATCTTAGCTTTTTGTTAATTGGTATCCAAGAGGAAGTCATACTGTGGTGTGAGTTACCTATATCTACACAAGTAGTATATGGTGAGGACCAGACATAGAATGTATTTCAGCAGAAGATGGATAACGAAAGAATGGAAACAAAACGCAGTTGGTATGAAAATGCATGAACAATGAAATCAGATACGATGGACTGACATTCACCGAAGGAACTGTATGCTTGTCAGATTTTAGTGAGATATTCTGTAATTTGTGGTCAAATACATTTGCTTGTCTCCACCTGTGTTCCTGTTCACTACAATATTTGTGGTTTTGGAACAAATGATCCCTCCTATAGGATTCGATCTTATGTCACTCAACTTCACAATTTGAGAGAGATCTCTTGTGAGGGTGAGATACTTGCAGTTGATTGATCATTGAGTAGTTCATAGAGATGATCAAATTATATCAATAAAAGAAGCTTTGTTCTTTTAAGAACTTCAGGCCAAACTAGCTGATAAATGTCAACTTGTACATAATCCAGACCTTCGATTTCTTCCTAACTTATTCAAACTACTTAGTAGAAAAAAACCGTCGTTCATTTACTATCAGCTAATTCGGTTAGTAGTCACACTAGTAGTGAACCGTCAGAATTTCATCGAAAATCGATGAAAAACGGTATTAATTATCTCAGATAGTTTTGTAACTAAATGGTTGAATTCATAAGTCCATTTACATAAGACCACCCTGGAAAACCTGGAAACAACAGAAAGTTGTTTCGTCCTCGTATGGAACTTCTCAGGAATGTTCATCCACGATCTCGCAAGTGTGACTCGAACGCTTAACTTCTAGACCACTGAGCCGTTAATTATAATTATCATGTGCTCACTAGTGATTGGATTCACGAGGTATTTACTGGGATTCTAGTCAGTAGACGTGGCCAGTGCAGTTCGACAGTGTCTATTGTGAGATAGTATCTGAGTGAAGACAATGGTGGACGGTGATGCGATTTTGTGGGTTGGTTGAAATAACTGTGTAAACCGACTCGTCAATCATCTTTCGTTATTAGTTGATTAAATACTCTACTACTTGAATTTAGTGTGTTAGGTTGCATGATGAATCAGCACAGTCAAGTACAACATATTTCAAGGATTATTTTCCAATTATTGTTCAGTTTAACGTCAAAGTAGTTCTATTGTACAGAGCTGAAATGTGGAGAACTACTACAAACATAGTCAAAATAGTACAGTTATTTATAAACACTTGTCTATGTAAGATACTGAATGTCCATTGGCTGAACACTATCAGCAACAACCTACTGTGGGTTAGGACAAACCAGATTCCAGCTAAACAGGAAATTAGGAAAAAGTGACGGAATTGTATAGGAAATACACTACGGAAATCATCAAGCTGCATCACGAGGCAAGCCCTAACTTAAAATCCTGGATGGAAACGAACAAGATGAAGGCCAAAGAACACACTGGGTTGGCAATTGTAAGCACATATGAAAAGGATGAATAGCAACTGGAACGGATTGCCTATGACAGAGTTGGATAGAGAATGCTGGTCATCGGCCTGTACTCCTCCATGAGGCGTAACAAGCGTAAGTAATTATTTGTTAATTTTAAACTTTGGCACATAGACTTAATCCAGTACTTTCAATCAACAGACATGATTATAATTTAAGTGGAATCCAATTATAGATCATAAGGGGTTTTGTGGATATTTCAGTATTTTCATAGTTGAACTCATGAGTCAATTGAAGCTAGACCATCATGGATTGGTTGAAGTTAAACATTAACACCGTTGGATGCCGGCCGGCTCAGTGGTCTATCGGTAAAGTGCTTTGGCGCGAGACTGGTAAGTCCTGGGTTCGAATCTCGCGAGTGCGGGATCGTGGATGCGCACTGCTGAGAAGTCCCATAATAGGACGATGTGGCCGTCCAGTGCTCCCAGGTTTTCCATGGTGGTCTAGCTTCAATTGACTCATGATTTCAACTATGAAAATCTAATTATGACTGAACAGAATGAGGATCAAATTTCACTGATAAGTTGAATAAACTTATTTTCAGACCACATAGTCATATGATCCTTAATCAGTAGTATAATAAATTTCTTTGTCACTTGATTAACAGTCTAAAATAATGATTTGTAGTTTAACCCCCTCTTATCAAAATCGAGTTAGGTAAACTGAACCCAAACTGAAATTCAGTCACTATCCACTTTGAAAAAACAGTAAAACCAATCATTGATGAAGTGATCTTACAGGATTGAGAGTGTTTACTTATTTACTTACTTACGTCTATTAGCACTCTTGGAGGAGCATAGGCCTCTCACTAGGCTTCTTCATCGAACTCCGCCCGTAGCTCTTCTAGGGTTACTGTCGGTCCTAAGCTCGGGTAAAAAAGGAGTGTTGGGAGTGGGGTCAAAAATCCTATCCTGTAGAAACCAACCTTTCTAAAAAACGCTCACCAGACAAATCTTTAGTGCAATATTTTATCTCTTAGAATAGTCAACTAGAAAGATTGCAATGAATAAAATAAAGTCACTTAGTAAAATAAATAGAATATCACCTTATTAGCGCTTATCTTCAAAAGATTTATCATTATCAGTATGGGGATTTGTGGAGATTGTAGTATTTTCATAGTTGAATTCACTCGTCGATCCCCATACTGATAATAACCATTAGCTCATTAGTGATTAGCTTCAAGATGAATTTCCTAGGGTTCCTGTGAGAAGCCGTGATCAGTGAAGTGCAATCGGTGTCAAGTGTGAGAGTTATCCACCTCAGACAATGTTTGAAGGGTTGTGTGAAATCATGTAGATAAAATGACCGTTGGATGTCTATTCACTGGTATAGAGCTTAAGTGTCCGCGCGCGAGGCTGAAAGTTCTGGGTTTTATTCCTCGTGATGAGATTGTGGTTGCAAACTGCTGAGGAGTCCCACACTAGAACGAAACAGCTATTGTTTGGTCGAAATCCCTCACATTATTCTTAATGTCTTACCCAATCAAATTTCAGATTCATTTGAAAAGTGGATCATCAACTTATTTTAATAAAGTATCATTTATCAAAGTGATTCAATAAATCGATAAGAGAAAATGATAAACGATTTCTTACATGGAGTAATAATTGCTTTAAGATTGTAAATACACATTCTTACCGATTGTTTTCAACTCTTTAAAATCTATTGCAGTGTGCGTGTTACTTATGTCGACAGATATAAATAGTATGTATGATCAATCGCAAGTGAAATGTCTGGTATCGGAAGATTGAGAAGATTGAATAGAAGTGAACGAGAACGGCGAGTGATTGATATGGAAATGAAGGAATAACATATTCTGAGACAATTGATGAATATTTTGCAAATGAAGTATTTACTATATGTAAAGATGGATAGTAGCTAGCAGTGGAATCCAGTTTGACTCGCGTTTCGTCCTATTTGGGACTCGTCAGCTGGATATACCTGAATCTCAGAGTTGAAGTTCACTCTGGGATTCGAACCCGGTACCTTTCCCTTCAAACGCCATCGTGTTATCCACTCCGCTACTAAGTCCTAAACATCAATAAAAAGATTGAAACAAACCATACCAAGTGAATTTATTTACTATATGGTTCTCAGATTTCACTACGACATTCTGTAATTTTGTGTTGAAATACATTCGATTGTCCTCACTTGTGTTCTCGATCCCTACACTATCATTAACTCATACTTTTTTTCGAAGACAGTTTGTCAGTAATTCAATAGACTAGTGAGTAGTGTATTTAAAATATCAAGTGATTGATTTGAATCTAGTTTCTGGGAAATCTAAAGTGAGGTATTTGACCAATTACTCTTTCAGTAATACTGAAGAAGGATCATTTTATTCCCAATCACTCTATGAAAAGTTCATTACGGAATAGACTTTTATACTAGTTTGGAAATAGTTATTCCTTGTGATAGAGACAAGACTTTTTCAATCATCTTTAAAAATCAAATACATATAGCAAGATACTACTTAAAAGTTTGAGAGTAATTTCTATAGCGAAACTTGTTTCGACAGACTACAGTAGACTCATTCAGCACTGCATGAAAGTTGCTAAGTTATCTAATTACAATACATTATTCCTTAGATTTTAAATCTGTGCATAATACAGATTATCTTCGATATAATGGAGGGATCGAAATGTTCTCTTATCGCCAAGATATACTACTATAATACAATTAAACGACCGGTAACCGAGATCACACTACTGTTAGACTGGATACTCGATTGATATCCTGTAAAAAGACTGGAAATGCGGTACACCAGATACACCATTCATTACCGAAAATAGGGAGAGTATAGAATAAACAATATTTTACCCAGCAGTATTACAAGCAGTCTATACTCAGTTAGTCCAGAGTAGAAATAAATATTAAGAAAACAAAAATCAAATATCAAAGTTA